TTTTTAAAAAATTTATTTTTGCCTATTCTTATAGATTTTTTCAAAATAAAAAAAAAATCTAAAATAGGATTATTTATAATTTTTTTTTCCCTTTTTAAAACCCAAAAACCTATTAAAAAATATTTTAATAATTTTTTAAAAAAAATTATGCCTTAAAAATAACATTTCCTAAAATTTTTTTGCCCAAATACTTTTCTATAAAAAAATTTAATTTCCAAAAATAAATTTAGGATATTATATATATTTTGTTGGTTTTTTATTATATATATATATATATATATAATTTATATTTTTATATATTTGAAATTTCCCCTAAAAATTGTCTTTTTATTGTTTAAAATTTTAAAAACCCATACCTGCTTCAATTCTCCGTTAAGTGTCTATAAAAATTATCTCAGTTGTACATGTGAAGTAAAACATTTGTCTTTCTATCCCTCCCTCTCACTTTCTGATGCATTTAAATGTGCACTTCTAAATTTGTGATGCATGGTATTCAAATGCAATGCATTTGCAACCTTTTTTTCTTTCCTTCCAACAGTTACAGAAAATTTGGTAATTGTTTTCCTCAATATCCACTCAGATGCAAAATTTTGAAAAGATGACACATTTGAAGGTAAGTCAAACATTTTCTCAAATGTTAATACAATTTTCTCTTTCCTTCTCCTTTTTTAAAATGCAAACAATTTTATGCTTTATAACATTAATCTTGTCTGCTGGTCTTTTACCCAAACATCTATTCCATCAATTTTTTTAGCAAATTTTCATAAGGAACAATTTTTTCTTTCCATAATTCTCACCTGTTTTAATGCTTCATCAGCAGTCTTTAGGCTAAAATTCAAATATAAATAAATGCCCCAAATTTCACTGGCATATCAGCAAATGTTTATATCTGAACTGGCATATTGCCTTCTGAGAAATTTGTATTTAAATATTTAGGTTTAAAATCCATTTTTTAAAAGGCAATTTTTGTTAGTCCATTAGAAATATAATTTTGTGATTTTTAATAAACAATCTATAAAATAACAAGTTTTATAGTGCTGATCTGCCTTCTTGTTCTACAGTGACTAAGTAAAATTTGTAAATGACCATTTTAATATTTTAAAAATCTAACAAATATAAAAATTTTTTCTCTTGATATAAAAAAACAAATTGCTTTGCTTTCCTTTAGAATTCGAAAAGAATGCATGTAGCAAATGCAAATTTCTCAAAGAAATGAACAGTGGAAGAAAGGAAAATGATCATGGCCAAAACAACACTACATATCATTTCTAGTAAATAAGAAAATTCAATTTTTTTATTGTCAGGATATATAAAATGATTTAATAGGAAATGTAATCTCAGTGATGCTGGGTCCTTTAACTAGTCATATATACATAGTTTTTATAGGTCTCTAGAATGTTTTTTTTTTTTCCCAGAACGAAGTGATGAAGTTACAAATTCTTTTCATCTGACCAAAATGCAAAGGGTTAAAATTCTACAAATATATTTAGCCTTTTTTTAAAGCCACCTTGTGTAAATTTTTCTTCAATGCTTGTGATGCAGTTCAGTTTTCATTTATTGTGTTCTTTCAAATGATTTGCTAGATCTATTGTCAATGTCTCTACAGCCTGGGCTCTTGCTTTACATTCTTCTTTCAATAAATTACTGCCAATAAACAAAATTAAAGAGTTAAAAAATAAAAAAAATGCAAAGTAAATTTGATTTATGGAAATTATGTGATTAGCTGTTTCCATGCAGGAAATATATGACATTCATTGACTGAACAATTAGCATTACTGTCAGTTGAAATTCATAAAATCTTTCTCTTAAAATCATTTTTCATGACAATAGGTTTCTTTCTGTTATCACTCTTTCTTGTATTAATAGAAGTTTCCTTCCTAGCATTTTGTTTAAATTTTTGTGGAAAGTCAACATCCTGATGTTCCCTTTGAGCAACATGTGTTATCCATTTTAGTTATTGCTGTTGTTATAAGTCTTATAGCATTTGTTATTTGATAAACTTATTTCTTTGTGATTTGGTAGCACAAGTCTGTAAAATCTGATAAAGTTTTGTCTTCTTCAAAACCACTTGAAGCCATTTTTAATCATTCATCTGAGAAAATGGTTGTATATAGCTAGTTGTTTACTTTAGACATTTCTGAACAAGTTGGATGCCATGCATGACCCATTTTCCTGAAAAATGGTTTTAATAGGAACATTTTATAAGTTTCAACCAAAAGAATCACTGGCTGATCAGTCAATGTAATAATGTTGACAAATAAACTGGTTTAACTAATCAAAATGTTATCAATTTCAAAACTGGATCATTGAATAAAAAGAAATAAATGAGGTTTTTACCTTTCTATTGTTAAGCTATCAACTTGTTCTTTTAAATACACAATTTGATTCTCCATTTCTTTGCTTAATTTCTCTGTTTCTTCTAAATGAATTTTGTTTTGTTTTAAATCTTCAGTTGTTTTTGATAATTGATTTTCAGCATTCAGCAGCTGAAAATAAAGCAGATAACTGAATCAAGAATAGAGAAAATATCAATGCAAAAATTTCTTACATTTCCAATAAGCTGTTTCTTCCTCAAAAATGTTGAATGTAATAATTAAGAAGCAAAAAAATAAATTTTTAAGACTTAATAATAACAACATAACATGCAGAATTAATATATTATGTCTATCAGCAAATGTTTTATATCTTGCATCTACTTTATGATTCTTCTTAATGAAGAAAACTAATTTAAATAATTAGGTTTAAAAATCCATTTTTTGAAAATTTATAATATGATTTTTAGTATAAGAATATACAGAAGTATAAAAGCCATATTTTAAAAATTTTCTAGTGGTTACAATAAATGTGTGCCTTATAAAATTTTACTTAAACTATATTTAATAAATACACATTTGCAGTGTTCCAGAAATTCATTATTGTGATTCAGTCTAACATCATTTTTCAAAAAAATCCATTACTTATATGCCCTAAGCTATAGCAGATTATGATTTACATTTTTCCAAACTTTAAAATTTTAATTATAATTAGTGATCACAAAGACTAGTAAACCAATGAGCTTTTTGAAAATTTATTTTTAAAAAAATAAACTAAATCTTCTAGATAAAAATCAGTATACATGAGTATGCAGCCAGGAAAATAAGTATAACAGTTTCTTGCATTCTATACCTACACAAATAGTAAGTAATTATATTAAAATTAGACAACTTATAGGCTTCATCCTGATACTAGTACATATGAGCAAATATTTCAAAAATAGATTTATATAAAATTATAAAAATATACTAAATAAGTAAAGAAAGTATTTGGTACAAATGAATAAAGCAATACTGCAGGAGAATGTAAATTTCTTGGTGGTTGGTTTTAAATAACATTAGGTTATTCTAGAAAGTACTAAGTAGTATAACTCATTCTTATAAATTGCTGTCAATCAAAGGACCACAAGCAGTTTCTAAAGATACCTACTAGAATATTATTCTTTGGTCTGGTGAGACCAAGAAGAGTCATTTAGCTTCAATTCACATCCAATTTAGAGAAAGAATGAAAAATTAAAACCATAGAACACTGTGACAAAATAATAATGTATGAATCTGTTTCTTATCACAGGGTATAAAACAACTTTACATAATCAAAGGAAGAATAAATGAGGTACATGTACCAAGATATATTGTACAAGAATCACCTTACTTCAATCAAGGCTTTAAAAATGAAGTGCAACTGAGTGTTTCAGCAGAACAAAAATTCTATATAATGGAGTTACTGGTGTAGATTTTACAAGTGAGTGAATCTATACCTCAAGCTAATTGGGATGGGGATTAACTTAAGTTGGTGTGCAAAGCCTAGATAGCCAAGCCAAGGAATATAAATTATAACTTTAAATACCACAAATATTTTAGGGGCTAGTTTTTCTAGTGGTCTTTTGAAGAAAAGAAAAAAGCATTTAATTACAATAAATTGAACTAGTACCTGGAATTTATTGGAATTAATCTCATGACTTAATGGGGTTTGAACTTATAGGATTGAGTAAAACAAGGAGCATCCACCCCTCACTCCCACTCAAAATGCTAAAAAAAATGACAATTGAGACAAACAAGCTGGTTCATGCTAGGTTGGATCTTGATTATCAATTGGATTCAAGAATTCAGCTGACTCTGGAAAAAATGTGACATCACCAAACCACTTTCCCTGCCCTATTATTAAGTACATACACAAAACAACTTGTAACCCGACATCTGAAAGAAACATATTCCTCATAAATACAAGAACCTACGAGCAGTAGCATTCAAAAATACTCAAAATGAAACATAGCAGAGTAATTGATAACACTCCTTGCAAAATACTCTAAGAATAATTAGATCAAGTGAAGAAATTTTCCCAAGCTTAAGTTTCCACCTGCAGAGTGAAAGAGCTGGAAATCAGGTTTTGCAAAGTTTGTTTGCAGGTCCAAAATCAAAGTTAACCATTCAGGGATAGTGATGTTTTGTAATATATCACGAATAAGACTGAGACCTACTAATAAACTGCCTATAAGCAGACCACGGCACCACAGAAATAGAAGGGGTTAATCTGATATCAATAACCCTCAACAAATAAACTATGTTATTTGCATTCACACTAATGTCACCATCTTTGTTATTATCATTGTGTTTTGTCCTTTGTCCTTTTGGTTAATGAATCTGGTAGCATATTAATTATAAGTTCAATCCCTGGACCAAGGTAATACAGACTTAGACTCAGTGGAAACAGAGTGAGCAATAAATGAGCAGTACTAAAATAAGAACTAGACGAGATATCTCTAGGTATGGGCAGCAAAATGAAAACAGGCAACCCATGTAGATTAAATAACAGATTCAGTTTGAAGGTTACCTGGATCAACAGACACCTGAATTAGGCCAGAGGACACAATGGCTGATATGTGGTAATAATAACAATTAATGGGGATAATAGTTAAAATGTAAATAATGATAACTCCTCATCCCAGAAATTTAGACAGAGACTGTTATTTATACAAGCAAGAGTGATTTTCTGTTCCTTTCCTCTTTACTTTTCATACAACTCACCTGTTTTGTTCTAGAGGGTGTTTCAACTAGCTTCACATAAGACTTCTTCAGATTAAAAACTTAGACACAATATGGGTGAGGAAGATTGACTAGTGGAGTAAGCCACACAAGCAACATTGCCAGGGCAGGGAAAGAAGGGTTTGTGTTTTATACCTAAAGATATTGCCAATGCAACCAAACAGTGGTTTGAAAATAAGAAAATCAATATAATAAAATGGTCCAGTCATTCTCCTGAACTGAAGCTGATTGAAAATTATGTCCATAATGAAGAAGACCTGACATGAAGAGTGGTGCACCAGCAAAAACATATTCAAAGCTAACAGCTACTTATAAGTGATTGGAAACTGTTGTTACAAACAAAAGCTATTCCACAAAATATTAAGCTCTGTTTGATTATGATTTGTCTATTTTCTTTATTTACAAGATCATTTTTTTTTTTCAAATATATCATTATAATTTTATACTGTTGAAATGCTTGCTCATATTTGCTAAAGGTGAAACTCATATGTGGTGTACTCCTGTAATAAATACTAACTATAAGGGTAGATAAATAATGCAATAATTTGTTTTTTGAGGCTTGTATTCAATATTTATTTTCCCCCAATGAACATTCGTAATGAATTTGATTAGTCAAATTTTGTATTATTAATTGGGTTACTTTAAAAAATAAAAACATACTAGTAGTGAATTTAGACAATAAAACTATAAATTTTGCTACCTCTCATTAACAAGAAAGTCTACGGTAACAGTCATGAAATCAATAAAATATTTTTAGTAATAGCTTCAATTCATAAGGAAAACAAAACCAAAAATTTACCAAATGCTTGACTTTGGCTAATTCTTGGGTTGCTAGACCCTGAAATTCATCATTTTCTTCTTCTTGTTTATAGAATTTCAATCGGAGTTTTTCAACTTCTTCCAGTCTGTTTTGAAGTTCAACTTTTTCCTTAAGAAAAATAAATGCATAATATTTTTTTTTAAATTCTGTACATGCTCAAATATTTGAAATAATTAGAGAATTAGTTTCTGCCTTAACCTACTAAAAGATACTGATAAAATTATGCTCTCAGTTTTATTCTACTATTTGAGAAGAATTATTACATATGTTCTCTGACTGTAAAGATTTAGAATAAAAATGAATATGAAGATCTACAATATATACTCTTTAAAATTATAATACTTCAAATACACAATGATAATAGTACAAGTATGTCCTATATGTCTTTAAAAAAAAAGCAAGGAGACTTTCTTTTCTGAGTATCTATAGAGTATACAAACAGATAATCAAGTAAGCTATTTTTTAAATCTATATCAACAAACATCCAAATTCATTTATCTAAATCCCAATTATAATCAATAAATTTAGGTTGTTAAGTAAAACATATGTGAATGCACTCTGATGTTGACATGAGATGTATTTTTACTAAAAGAAAAGAAAAAAAAAGAAAACAGAAATGGGGGGAAAAACAGAAACAATACCTGAACACTCTCTGCCAAAGTCTTTGTGTGTTGGTCATCAAGTTCCTGAATTTGTTGAGACAAATCTAAAGTCAAAGATGCATCAATATTAACAGCAATTTAAAAAAATAAATAATGTCAGATTAAAACACAACTTTAAAAAAACACACACTATAAAGTTACAAGCATTTGTAAAAACAGCAAAAAATACTTTATATGACAATGACAAAAAAAAAAAAACAGGAGAATGAGGAAACTTGGAAAATATTTAGATAGCAGCCATCTGGTATGATTACAAATGATTAAGATGAAACAATATAATGCTTTGCAATGATCTTAAATGATAGCAGCAGATGCAAAAGTGAAAAGTGGGATGCAAGTCATATATGCATATATGAAAATGTAAAAATATGCACAGTCTGTAAAAAAATGGGTTAAGCAGTCTTATCCAAAATGAGTAAAAGACAAAAAGCAAAACAGAATTTAATGATAGACAATCATTTTTCCTCCTGTTTGTTATTTTCATCTTCCTTGCCATATTCACAATGTTTCGACCATTATATGCCCCGGCCTTCTTTAGGTGATTGGACTTTCGAACCGAACCCATTATTTCGGCCACCGGAGTAGATTGTTCTAGTTCCACGTTCCATACATCTTCCGGATGTCTCACTTATTTTCCTTTAACTCAGCTCTAAAAATATTTAATAATAATTTCTTGAAATAGCACATTCACTGAGATCCTTGATTGAAAAGCTAAAATTCTTAAAGTTAATTTTTAATGAAAGAGATGTCTTTCCACGTGTCATACTAATGTAAGTTTCAACATGGCGAATAGCTGAATCGAATGCAAGTATAAATTAGATTACGATTGCTGGAAAATTTCCAAGTACAAATCCCTCGACAACAAAAGCTTCACCTGTAGACATCGTCTAGACTTTGAAGTGACGGAGGAAATTTGATTCGAGTTTTCTGAAGTTTTACTCCCTACCCCAACACATTCTTGAAGCTTTTTTTTTTTTTTTTTGCTCACCGAATTATTTCGAAGTCGCTTATCACAAGGATGAAAAGAAATCATCTAACCGTGAAAAGGTGACAGAGAAACTCCTGGCAACAAATAGGTAAGGGAAGCAGAATGTTGGTGTCCTTTAAATCACTGATATCCAGGCGTTTGCGTGGGAAAAGTGAACAATATATTTGGTGGTGGAGAAAATGAAATTGTATGAAAAACCTTTTCCTCATGAGAAACACGCCCACCATTCTAAGTCAAACTTTTTGATCTCTCTTTCAACAAGTTTCTTAGGCTAAAATGTTCTAAGACAATATTTGAGATGTTTGCCAGATGATCTATTGAGGGTCAGCTTTTACGAATTTGTTAATTAAAAAAAAAGAATGTAACATTCGTTTTTATTTAAATTTAATTAAATATGCGATTGAATTGTTTTAATTTATTAATGAAGTTGGTTCTTAAGTCTTCTGTCATTTTAATGCGATATTCAAATTAATTATTTGTCGTAGTTGTTTTCTGTTAGGCAAACTCATTGTTTTGATTTAAAATCCGATTTTTTAGTATCTCAGGAAAATGTGATAAAGATTATTGATTTTTGACTTTGGACGAGATTTCTCATTTTGACGAGATTTCTGACTTCGTCTGAGATTTCTGACTTTGGACGAGATTTCTCATTTTGAACGAGATTTCTCATTTCGACTGAGATTTTGCATTTTGGACGAGATTTCTCATTTTGGATGAGATCTCATTTTGGACGAGATTTCTGATTTCGGCTGAGATTTCTCTGGACGAAATATTTTAGATGAGATATTTCATTTTAGGTGAGATTTCTCATTTCGACTGAGATTTTGCATTTTGGACGAGATTTCTCATTTTGGATAAGATCTCATTTTGGACGAGATTTCTGATTTCGGCTGAGATTTTCTCTGGACGAAATATTTTAGATGAGATATTTCATTTTAGGTGAGATTTCTCATTTCGACTGAGATTTTTCACTTTGGATGAGATTTCTCGTTTTGAATGAGATATCTCACTTTGGACAAGATATTTTGGATGGGATATTTCATTTTAGGCGAGATTTCTCATTTTGGATGGGATTTATCATTTTTATCGAGATTTCTCGTTTTTGACGATATTTCTCATTTTAAATGAGATTTCTTATTTTGAATAAGATGTTAGGATAGGAAATGTAGAACACATGATGGAATGAGAGAATACGAGTCTGTCTGAAATTTCAGGACAGTTTATTCAAACTAGTTTCACGACATTCGTATCATTCGTCACTTTATCAAATGACTATGACTTCTGATCAGCGGTACAAAGACTTTAAATAAATAGGAAGTCTTGCCATAACTCTAAAACAGCTGCCCGTTATTTTCCCACTTCTCTATTGACTGGTTTGTACCCGTTTTCTCTATCATTTATATAAAAATTTATAAAATAGTAACACTTTCTCTACGCGAAAAGTTCTGTTTTTTTGTATTGTATGCTTTTTGTCTAAGCAACCACTGCCATTGTAAGCGAGCCAGTCGAGGAGAGATGTTAATAATAACCAAAAAGCTATGTACACTTCGGTAAACGTATAGTTCTTTAAGTGGCAAATATAATTTGCTCACCATCAGCTGTAAGAAAAGAGAATGTATAGACGTTAGTAAACTGAAAGATCAAAGCGAAAGATCAAAGAAACCATCTGCGAGATGTGTTATAACAGAAAACGGAAAATGTGACACCGAAATCCGAAGAGATCGCGAATCTCGTGACCCATTAGGCTCGTAGGGACACTATCTGTACTGCAGCCGCAGTAGAAGTGTTTGGCAATATACCTTTACAAGTCCAACCCTCTCTAGGCTGGTTTTGAATTTAAAGATCCTTTTCCTAGACCGGTTGACACCCAAGGCTCTAGAAATTTGTCTCTCCTGCTGTTTACCCATAACTGGGGAGGGGGAGAAGAAAAGGATTCATACCTTTCCCAAGGGTATTAGCACGCAAGTGAATATAATTAATCTGACTGCAATTCGAACTCGGCTCTCCGATTCCTCGATCTGAGCCGCTATCCATTACTCCAGCGTGTCTTCTTAAATTCCAAAGTAGCCTTGTAAATAACTGAAAATGCCTTCAAAAAAATAAACAGAATATTAAGAAATAATTTCGTTAGAAAAAAGTGCTGGACTACTATAATATCAATCTTTCTATATGGCAGCGAATGCTGAAAATTTCTCCACGGGTAAAGAAGTGACCTGAGGTCACAAAGATGTGGTTCTACAGAAGAATTCTGGGAATACCATGGAGGGAACATGTAAGCTACGAGGAAGTTTTAAAGAAAATAGAAACAAAAATGACGCTTAAAAATTAAAATCAGATAAGGTTGAAATTTCTAGGGCACATGATCAGAAAAAGAAGGCTTGGAGAATTTGACACCCACAGGACATACTGAAGATAACAGGGGCAGAAGAGAAAAGTGAATAAGCTACCTAGCCAACTAGTGTAAATAAATGGCAGAACATTGATTGGGAAGGATAGTAAATGGGCAGGAATTGCTTAGAGCTACGAAGTGTAAGAAGATGTGAATCTGATACATTCATTAACAACCTTGCCAGAGGCCAGTCAAAATATAGTAATAGTGATGCTATTTTTTTTTTGTTGTTGTCGGATGCCAATTTCTGACGATTAGAGAAGAACCTTTATAAAGTAAAGGGAGCCTCATTCTCTGTTCTGCTTGCAAAATCCCCGCCCCAGTCGCCACCACCATGACTAGAACAACACCCAGCAAGTTAACTTTATCCCTTCTTTCTTTCTCATTGTTTTGGGAACTTCAGGGTCAGGAAGCAGGCATCAACTTGCAGATAGAAGACACGTGATCTTTAAATCAGTAATAACAGTCCTTCCTTAATGAATTAATTGATCGATGAGGTTGTTAGTCAGCCTTTATATCAGAGAGTCCGCCACAAAACAAAACAAAAAAACAAAAACATCTGCTACCTTTTGCACTTGCCCGACCAAATTTAAAGTATAACCTGTGATGGGCACGTTACTCTCGAATCGTAGTCGGCTGCTTGATAATCCAGTAAAAGATGAGCTTTGTTAGAATCAGATATTTTTGAAAGTGGAGCACGTGTCGATTGTCTTTAAACATGTGTTTCAATAACAATGAACACCAAAGAATGGATAATGAAAGAAGGAGATAATTTGCTGTTTTAAGAAATGAATTCAATAGAAGCATTCGAAAAGGATACGCATATAATTTCGTATAAACATCAAAGTTGAGCCCAAAATGCGATTTTGCAGGTCGGCGACACTAAAATCAAACATGAACCTGGGAAGTGTTCTGACGGAGGACGGTAGGTGCGACGCTGAGATCCTCAGACGGATTGGGATGACCAAGGATGCATTCCAAAATGCTGGGCGGAGTACTGCGAAAACAGGAAGATTTCTATGGTGACAAAGAAAAGAGTACTGAGCTGACAGTTGTCCTACTATACACCAGCAAATGTTGGACGTTATCCTCAAGGATGAAGAAGAGACTCGAAGACAGAAGGAGACAGAAGGATTGTGAGGATATCATGGAGAGAGCATGTGATCAAAGATGAGGTCTTAGGGAGGATGCAAACAAGGAGGGAGCTTATGCTTAACATATGGAAGAGGCAGATTAAATTTCTGGGACACGCGATGAGAAAGGTAGGCCTGGAGAATCTGATACTCACGGGATGAATAGAGGAGGGGGAGGGAAAGAGACAGGGGGAAAGCAGCGCATGACAAACTTGACGGGCTTGGGCAGGTGGATGGCGGAGTTGGCAGAAACACAAAACCTGTTGAGAGCCACAAGGGATAGGGAGAAGTGGAGGACCATGATCGCCTACGCCCTGAAAGGACACGGCACATAAAAAGAAGATAAACATCAGTTATATATATGTGCTTTTTATATAACAATACCTATGTCCCTTTAATATTAAATAGAGTTTTTTAACCGCTGCTACTTGTTAACCATTTTATTGTTGTCAGTAATAGTACTTGTCTATTAGTATCTCCTTCCCTCCCTCTCTTTCTGTCTGTCTGTCTCTCGCTCTCTCTCTCTATATATATATATATATATATATATATGAAGAAAAATATACTGAAAAATTATGGACATATTCATAAAACATAATTAACATAGACCATATACAATTCAACATGAAAAAGACGATGTATATGGTCTATGTTAATTATTTGGTTTATGAATATGTCCTGAAGATGGTCTATTAGACCGAAACGTCCGACGTCGACATGAAACATTAAAACAGCATAATCGCATATTAGGATTTTTGTTTGTTTTTTCAGTATATTTTTCTTCATACTGTCGGATCTATATCCATATATTTGCTTACACACACACACACACACACACACACACACACACACACACACACACACACACATATATATATATATATATCGGGGCGCGTGTGAATGTGTGTGTGTGTTTAAAATATAATTTTAACGTATGTTATATTTTTCTATTGAAGTTTTTAATCACTGCCTAAAGACTGTGTTGTGCATGGAACTACCGCTGAGGAAAAAACATGTTGATTTATTCTTAATTAGCAGTCTTCGCTCGCTTGCTATCACTTCGCAAAGTAAGATATATTCACTACTTGAAATCTTTGAAAAAAAAATTTTAAATGAACATTTCATTTATAAATTGGTTTGTCATAGATTAAGGAAAGTTTTACAAATAGATGCCAACTTGTTGAAGGCCAAATAAAATGCAAATTTAAAACACTTTTCTGCACTATATAAGACAATATTCCTAAACAGAACTATTTTTTGATATGAAAGTCAAAACAGTCCTTGAATAAAATAACGGAAATGAAGGACAGTTAATTAATGAAATTTTATTTTTTTAAATCAATATGCAAATTAGTTAAACCTGAAGAGAGATAGCACCTAGAAGTAGATAATATATATTACAGATATTGAGCCGTTAGCCCATAAATTACTATAAAGTAGATTTGGGCGCTTTTTTAACCGCAGAATTTGTTGAACAATTGCGCTCCAAGTTTTACTTACATTAGCTACTATGTTTCAGTAAC